ATGACATGTAAGTAAATAAATAGATGTAGGTCACCCGAAAAGGGTAAGATTCCCTAATATTTCTTCTGACAAGGATTGATAATGATAACTCTTTGAATATTTGGGTCCTCCTTGGATCATGTGAGAAAGGATAGATAAAAATATAGGGAAAAGTTGGACTTTATATGTGTATGATAAAGTAATAATCTTCAGAGAATGTCAATGTATTGTATTTTACAATGAATATCTAATCCCCTCTATAACTATATATCTTTCTATTTATAAAGGTATATGAGCCACAAAACCCTAAATAGTACAAGTGGGAGGAATATTCACTGCAGTATTCTCTAAGGGGCCATATTCCTAAAACTAGTTGTTACTGTTTTAATAAAATGAGTACTCGTTCTCATCTCCGTCCTCAGTTGAGCCACCTCGACCTCGTCGACGACATGTTCTTTTCTCATAATATCGACCTTTTGAAATTAAATTATTACATCTTGTTAACGACACGTGGTAGCCTTCGAAGGCTTTCTTAATATTGACTAGGTCCACATATAATTATGGTAATTTTAGCCCATACACATGTATTGTCATGGGTTTTAATATATTTATTTATTTAAGGTGTAAATTGTGAGAATAAAATGATAAAAAAATTACTATCGGGTAGCCATGCTTTAAGAAGCTTTTTCATAGCGGGTGGCGCCCACTCTCCTGTGGACGTGGAGGCCCCTTTCCCATTTGGTTTTATTGTGCTGCAGAAAGGTGCAAGCGACCTCTCTCGTCTGGGAGAGGTCATGGGTGTTACCTCCTCATCATGGGTGTCATAGCCTTCGTTGATGGCACTCATGAGGTTGAGGGAAATATTGTTTTTTGCCTTCGCGTTGTTTCCTTGGTTACCTGCCATGGATATTTTTGTTTCACAGAGAAAAAAGATAAGTTTTGTGGTTCGTTAGATTAACAAGGATCGATTTCCCTCACCAGTGGCATCCTCAGTTAGAGCTCATAGCGCTGGACTTGCCTAGTGCGATTTACAGCTCATGTGTGATTTGCAAGCTATTGCACAGTGAGTAGGATACTCAGGGCGCACCCGAGAGATAGCGGATGTGGATTTTCCTGAAAATTTTTCAAAATAAAATAAAATTAATAAAGATAGAAATTTCAAGAGTAGCAATACTTAGGACCCGTTTAGCCATAGATTTTGCCAAAATAAACTTGGATTTTATTTGGCAAACACATGTTTGGCCATAGATTTTACCTATATTTTGGCAAAATCCCAAATCTCAAATTCCAAAACCAGCTCATTAGTTGGTTTTGGGCCAAAATCTTTACAAACACTAATAATATACATGTTTTTCCAAAATAAATTTGAAAAATACATTTTGAAAACGTATGTCCAAACACATTTTTCATTTTCAAACCAAACTTCATTCAAATCAGATTTTTCAAAATAAATTTGAGAATCTATAACCAAACGCTAGCTTATTTTTATTCGGTAATAATTAAACATGGTTTATCTATGAACTAAAAATTTGAAAATTGAGCCGAATTAAATGAATTGAACTCAATTCACTAGCGGTAAATTTACACTAAAAGTAGTGGCACCTATAATTTTCAAATCCCGGTTCTAAGAGTCCCGGAGATAATTAATGGTTAATGACCGAATTTGAACTTTTAACCACTAGATTCACTAAACACCTACTTTCTTACACCTATTTTCTTACAATGTAGGGTGGCGATTATGCATTAAAAAAAGGAGGATAGGTTGGCTAGAAAATTTTTATTTCGTATCTATAATTGATATTAGTTGTATGAGGCAATTTTTTTGTCTCATAATTTTATGGGTCCAGATTTTTGTGGACCCAGAAGTGTAAGATTGGGTTCCACAAATTTGTAAGACAAAAGACACAAAATAAAATTTCTCCGTTGGCTACGATGATATGAAATATGAAGGAGAGGGGCGGCTGGTTTATTATTGTTTCTGATTTTGCAGGAAGGAGAAGTGATAGGTGAGCTGCAGTTGAAGATTTTGTTTCACTTAAGAGTGATGTAATATTTGTGTCCGTTGATCTTGGCTTGATGGACGGTGGAAATTTAGTCAAAAGGTTCATGTGAAATAAAATAACTCCTTGATGTATTTGTTGACAGCTTAGGATATTTGAATATTGCTTAGGATAATTTCTTAAAAAATAAAAAATTCATAATTATAATTAACCAAATTAAAAATACAAAAGGGAAAATATATCTGTGAATATTTTTAAGAAAATTAGCCAAAATATGGAAATGAATTAGCTTAACTTTTCGTTAGGGCTTGTTTGGAAAGCCATCTTGTAATTTCATTTGAGTGTAATTGGGTATAATTGTATAATTTAGCATGCTTGTTTGGAAGATGTGGAGGTCGAGTATTAGGGTTGTAGGTTAGGAGGTAGTCGAGTCTTGCCCTTACTTCGTACCTTTGTGAGACTAGTCTGATAGGGTTTTTGTCTAAGATAGATAGTGGCAATGTTGTGTCTTACTATTTCAGTTTTCAGTGCAGGACCTATTTTACTAGCTATCGCTTTTGCTTTGCATCTTTCTTCTGGATTTCATGTTCCTATTTTTCCTAAGATTTCCGTGGTGATACTGATATTGTCTCCTTTTGTCTTTTTGTTTCCTTGAGCCAAGGGTCTTTCGGAAACAGCCTCTCTACTCCTTTGGGGTAGGGGTGAGGTCTGCGTATACACTACTCTCCCCAGACCCCACTAGTGGAATTTTACTGGGTTGTTATTGTTGTTGTTGTTGCTTGTTTGGCAAAGTAATTACTTAATCGGTATGAAATTAGATGTAATTATGGGGGAATATTCAATTCTCGAAATTCATACTTGCACTAATGCACTAGATCTTATCAAAACTCCAAAGCAAAGTATGATTTAGTTAGAGTGGTACTGGGATAAGTGATCCTCTGAAAAGTCCTCGTGTTGTATCCCATATTTTATGGAAACTCTTTTTATTTTTGTTTATTTGAATTTCATATTTATTGATTAATGGTAAATTATTTTGTTTTAATCGTTTGATTCGTAGTTCTCCCGAAAAGAGATAAGCGTATAATCTACAGTGGTAGGAATGACGGATACGGTCATACCAGAGAGCTAACACACCGAATCCATCAGAACGTCAAAGTCAACCATGCTTGAGCAAGAATAGTACTTGGAAGGGTGACCTTTTGGGAGTCTTCGTGTTGCATCCTCCATTTACCGAAATTCTATTTGTTTTTTTAATTTAAATTTCTTATTTATTTACTAATGGTAGAATATATTATTTTGATAGTTTTCGAAGTTATACTAAAAAAAGATAAGTTAATAGAATTTTAATTTTAAGAATGACGGATGCGATCATACCAGCATTAATGCATCGGATCCCGTCAGAACTCCAAAGTAAAGTGTGCTTTGATTAGAACGGTACTAGGATGGGTGACCCCCTCCCTCCCCCACCCCCCACCCCCTCGAAAAGTACTCATGTTATATCCCTCATTTTGCTGACTCTTCTTATTTTTGTTTATTAAGTTTCATATTTATTTATTAACAGTAAATTATTTTATTTTGGTCGTTTTGATTTGTGGTTATACTGAAAAGAGATAAGTATTAGAACACTAGGATGATTAATGTGATCATATGAGCACTAATACACCGGATCTTGTCAGAAATCCAAAGTAAAGCGTGCTTTGACTAGAGTCGTACTAGGATGCTTTACTCTCAAGAAAGTCCTCGTGTTGTATTCCTCCTTTTACCGTAACTCTTTTTATTTTTATTTATTTAAATTTTTTATTTATTTATTAACAGTAGATTATTTTGTTTTGATTATTCAAATTTATAGTTCTGCCAAAAAGAGATAAATTTAAAGAATTTAGAACGCTAGAAATCACTGATGCAATCATACCAGCACTAACGCACTAGATCGCGTCAGAATTCCAAAGTAAAGCGTGTTTCAGTTAGAGTGGTACTAGGATCAAGGATGGATGACCCCCTGAAAAGTCCTCGTGTAACATCTCTTTTTGCCAAAACTTTGTTTGCTTTTGTTATTTGAATTTCTTAATTTTTTTTATTAACAGTAGCTTATTTTCTTTTGATTGTTTCGATTCGTAGTTTTGCCGCAAAGAGATAAGCTTAAAGAAATTAGAATGCTAGGAATCACGAGTTTGACCATACTAGTACTAACACACTAGATAAATCAAAACTCCATAGTAAAACGTGCTTCGGTTAGTGTGGTACTAGGATGGGTTATCCCTGGTAAGTCCTGGTGTTGCATCGTTCCTTTTGCCGAAACTATTGTTGTTTTTATTTATTTAAATTTTATATTTATTTATTAACGATAAATTAATTTTGTTTTGATTGTTGTGATTCGTATTTCTGCCAAAAAGAGACAAAGTTTAAAGACTTTAGAATGCAACGAATGATGATGCCACCGTACCAGCACTAACACAATAGATCCTGTCAGAACTCAAAAGTAAAGCGTGCTTCGGTTATTGTGGTACTAGGAAAACTTCTCATGTTGCATCTCAACTTTTGTTGAAACTCTCTTTTGTTGTTTACTGAAATTTCTTATTTATTTATAATGGTAGATTATTTATTTTGATCGTTTTGATTCGTAGTTCTACCGAAAAAGAGATAAGTTAACAGAATTTCGAATTCTAGACGGCGGTGACACCGGCAGAGGTGGCTGAGCAGCTGATGAAGGAAGAATGGAAGATGAAGTTGATGTTTCACTTAATGGCTTGATTGAATTTCTTAACAGCAAGATTAAAGATCAAGAAAAGGTTGAAAGGTTATGGATCCACCTTTTTTTTCCTTCTATTTTCTATGATAATTTCATAGAAGTCTAGCATGCTTGTTAAAGAAAGTATATATTTCTGTCCTGGATAAGATTTAATCAAAGTCAATCACATATTCTTTTCATCTCAGATTAACTAGTTTTGATTTGATTGCTAGTTTATCTCTTCTTGAGGTGAGGAAACAAAAGATGAATAACTAGGTAGAACAACAGCTTACTCCAATAAACCAAAGAGGCAACTAATATATATGGCATTGAGAAATCAAAGTTCTACAGCCTGTTTATTCCACTCTAAACATTGCCCACCAACAAAGTCCTTGGTGATCTCTCTCACACTGATTACAAAAGCAGAATATATACATGGGATTATGAGAAGATACACAAGAAGCAGCTTTTTACGCACTGAAAGCATCGATTAAGTTTTGGCGACAGAGCAATCTACCCTGTCAGACCTCGACACCTATTCTTTGAGCAACCTGCACAGGGCCAAATGTTAGGTTCACGCAACATTTTCAGGCGAAAGATTAAAGTTAGTCGAAACTAAGAAGTTACTGTAGCTAGCAATGATAAGTATTATAGTGATTCGGGACTGATCCATTACATTGTACCAGCTAGGATGAGTCAAATTGGCACCGCTGAGTTATGAAAAGAATTCTACTTCTAGTGAATAGGGACCAATGCATTGGGTGGTATCAAGATGACTTGGAAAACATGAGAAACATCACAATGCATGCCAACTTCCAGTCTACCTCATATTTACAGATGGTCTTGGAAACTTCTTGCCATCAGAAACGGAGGCGGAGGTAGCAACCCGATAAGAGTTCGGCCGAACCCAATAACTTTCGTTCAAACAAAGTATTTGTGTTAAGGAATTCATTATATATGTACACATAAAACTTAAAACCCAATTATTAGAACTTGAAGTTGTCGTTCTAAAATTCAGAACCCATAAAGTTGAAATTCTGGCTAAGATTACAAAAGTGTTTGCCAACCATTGTATGCAGGAAATTTAAATCAAATTCATGCAAGCAGATCTTTGTTTTTTCTTCTTTTGTTAGGTAACTTAACCCAAATAAAGCAAGTTATGGCAAAAATAGCAAAAAAGAGAGGCAAATAGATAAGTTACCTCTTTAAAGGAGTTAACATCACTTCCCCACAGCCAGGCATCACAACCTGCATCTCTGGCACCCCAAATGTCATTCCTACGATCGTCGCCTACATGAACAGCATCTTCTGGATTTACTCCTAGCAACTCACAAGCTTTTAAAAATATTGTTGGATTAGGCTTCTCTGCTTCTACCTTTTAAAAGCCAAAAGAAAAATCAGCTGTTGGATCATAAAGGAAGAAAAGGAAGCAAAAGGAAAGACAACAACATATTACCTCAGCTGACACGGCTACCGCATCAAACCAGTGATCACAGTTCAGAGCCCTTAACACTGGTCTCAATCGGGTGTCAAAATTTGACACTACAGCCAACTTTACTCCTGCCGTTCTAAGAGCATTGAATACCCTCTCAGCATTTGGATCACAAAGATGCCAAGCCTATTGAAGAATGACGAATGAAAGTAAATTTATTTAAGTGTCTTCTTATAAACCAAATTGCAGTCAAGAGAAATAGCACAGTATCTCAAACTGAGCCAACCTTTTCAGTAGTATAGTAGTTATACAGCTCCTCAAAGTACTGAGAATCAGAACAGCCAGTCGAAGAACTAACTATATGTTGCCAAAATGGTCGTCCATCGTTAACATATCTGCAACATGCAACTCATATCAATAATAATTCCTGTTTTTTCTGTTGCGTACAAGAAATTCACTCAAATATCAAAGATGATTCAAAGATCATCATCAAATTATAACAATACCATGTATGATCTCAAACTAATTAGATATCAACATCTTGTCATGAAGCGTATAAAAGTTATGGTCCATGATGTGCATAGAAGAATTATTTGGTTACCACTGTGATGTCAAATAAATAAATTTAATTGTTGAACAACAACAACAAAATTTTTGAAGGGCATAGTTCTCCAGAAGTTCTAGATTATACAAGTTTAACCAGATACTTGTAATTAGCCAAGATATGCTTTTAAACTTTTTAGAATTACCAAAACTTGCATTTTTATAAAGTAATACTGTACTACATAACTAGACAAACACACAAGGGGACAGATCACAATATAAATTCGTTGAATAATCTGGACAATGAGGATTAGCACGATTCAGGATGCACAAAGGTTAAAGAGCAAGCAATTCAAACTAACTCTGAAACTAGAATCTTATCAACAAGAGAAAGACAGCGATCAAAACAAAAGATATGGATTTCTTTAGTAGGCAAGCTAAGTCAACTTCTCTCAACAATCAAAAAACCCTAATGCTGACTAAAGGAAAAATTCAGTTTAGGGTTTTAAAACCCTAATGCTGATTGCATGAAAAAGCTCAGTTTAGGGTTTAAAACCCTAATGCTGGCTGAAAGGAAAAGAAAAATTTATACCCTTTTCTCCAAACAAGCCAATATTAGACCAAGGAGAGTATCTCTTATTCTCAAGCCAGACGAAACTTCTTTTATTCTTTTTGTCCGTAAGTTTTTGTTCCAATCTCCTATGTCGCTATACCTATCCATTTTAACTTAGTTTTTAACGATTATCCATTTCAAAGCAGACAAAATGCAACAGTGAAAGAGAGAACAGCATTCCCTTTGTATCAATAAACTTTAACTTACTATGGCTTAAAACCACTAGGATTATATGGTAAACAGTAAATCCAAATAGCATTTCTCCATCCAGGAGAAAAATTATCTTTCAGCAAAAGAATTCAAGAAAAAACATATTGCATATAAACGAATAGTACTAAACAACAATGAATCTAAGCAGAGCATAATTAGCAGCAATTAATAGTGTTCTTTTCAAAGTTTTAAGAAACAAATTATTTTCAACATGGAAGCAAGTTACTGTAGATATAAATTACAACCAAAACCAGATACCTGAGCCTAGATCTAACCCAAGGCTGTTCATAAGCCCATCTGTATCTTTTCAATATCTCAGCTTCAGAATACTCCACCCCATACTTCTCACCAATTTGCCTATAAATCTGCAATATCCAAGAGGGTTAAAATATTGTGAATAAGTGCAAACTGAACATACTGAGACAAGCAGAATATACAGAGAGAAGTCCATAAAATCAACTTCAATAATAATAAAAAGACAACATGTAAGGGGGGAAAATTAGGAACTGAGGCAGAAAGACAATGAGATAATAATATCTCCGCCTGCCCATAATGAAAGAGTCAAGATAATGTAATATATATATATATATATATATATATATGTGTGTGTGTGTGTGTGTGTGTACACACTCATACACATACAAAGGAGCACCAAAAGATCTAAAACTTAACAAAAAATTTCAAACACAACGTCCGGGAATGAAAACACAGAGTGTGTGTGTGCATAAACAGAAAATCCACAGAAATTCTTGATTTGATAAATTTTCATATAGAGAGGGTACATTAGAGATACTACAAGCAGAAAGAAAAATAGTTACTAGCTCTTGTGGCTTTCCAACAACAACAACAACAACCCAGTATAATCCCACTTAGTGGGGTCTGGGGAGCGTAGTGTGTACCCAGACCTTACCCTTACCCTAGGGTAGAGAGACTGTTTCCAAATAGACCCCCGACATCCTTCCCTCCAAGAACTTCCCACCTTGCTCTTGGGGAGACTCGAACTCACAACCTCTCGATTGTGGCTTTCCAATCTTCAAAATTAGATCCAGAAAAATTCATTTATTTGGTAAAGTTTTCATCAGAAGCAGAACAAATGAATATACTCCACTCTTTAACCAGAAACCAGAGATGTCGGAATCTGAGCTAGTCGGTCCCCAAATTTGGTACCAGACATCGAGTGGGAACCAAAAATGTGTACATACTGCAAGCAGAAGAAAAAATGGGTAGTAGTAATTGTAGTTTCTCAATTGGCAGCATTAGCAGATCCAAACTTTAACAAATTTTCCATCAGAAGGAGAACAACTAGAGATGCTAAAAGTAGAAAGATAAATTGCTCACTTTATTACACCAAAGCATTTGATTTGTAGTTCTCTAAAGAAAAAATACCTCATAACATGAAGACAGCAAAAAGCACTACAACTGTGGACACAAACCAGGTGAAGAAAAACAAAAACAAAAAGGTAAAATCAAGAAACTGAATATTGGTTCTACAATAGCACAGTAAATATAGCTGCAGAAAATGCACAACTTAAAACAGATGATCAAGAAATTCAAAGAAAGGCTAAAATTCTTCAATAAATGTAAGCATTACATGCATTTTTAAATTGAAAAAATATAATACTCCATGAACAAACCTGAGCCATGGGCTGAGAAGGAATAACAAGTGTACCCACAGCATCAACAAGAAGAGCTTTATGTGTAAGCCCACCATATAAAGCCCTTCTATAATCTTCATACTCTTTCACTAGCCCAAATAGCCTCGACGGCGACTCTTCTACCGGTGACTGAACAGCAGCCGACGT